TAACAGGGATTGAACTGGGGGTGGGAGGTCCTTGCACTTGTGAGGCAGGTGACGACACCACTGAGCTAATTCCCTGGCCCAATCACACATCTTTTAAATGGGGAAGGCAGTGGGAGGGAAAAATATTGATCCTACACCCTCTGGCTGTCACCAAAAGCGAGCCCTGCCCCCTGCTGGTTAAAAAGAGTCACTACGCCCTCAGAAGCCTCTTGGGATCCCCTTCTCTCTTGTAGGAGGTGCTGGGAAGGGGATGTAAGAGGGTAGAGGGCCAGACAGAACGAATACAGGGCACCCAGCAAAACCTGAATTTGAGATAAACACCAAATAATCATTTTGAATACGTCCCGTGTAATATTTGGGCCATATATATACTAAAAATATTTTTATTATTTCGGTAATATTCAAATTAATGGAGTAGCCTGTACTTTTACTTCCTCAGTCTGGCACTGCAGGGAGGAGCATAGGTGGTTTAGAAAAAGAAAGTCACAGAAGGTGCAGGGCAGGCTGGGTATGAGTGTTTGGAGGGGAGAGCTGGGAGCTGTCTGCCGGGGACACAGATCCAGGCTGGCCTGCTGAGAACTGGAGTCACGAAGTTGCTGCATCACACAGTGGGCATCTAACCTCTTGCCACATGGAAGGTGAGGCTCTCTGCACTGTTGGCCTCAGGTGCCCCAACAGTTGAGCACAGATGCAGAGTGAGCCCAGTCAAGGCCAGCCAAACCCAGACAGGCCAGAGGACCTGTGTCTGTGGCTCCAACCCACTAACTTTTGGGCACAATCGAGGAGGGGGATGCAGGGAAGTTAGGACGAGTGAGTAAGGAAGTTAGCCGCCTGCCCAACCAGTGCTTGTGGTACAGTTTCTGTCTTTTCTCCACCACCTTTTAACCCTTCTAGTCTGATTTCAAATCCCTATTATTCCGAACAACCTAGATAGGAAAAACATAGTTCAGAAGCAGGCATCGTCTTAACAGAACCGGCAGCACACATGGCCTCCTTGTATGGAGTGAGAGAAGAGCTCACAATGCTTCCTGGCTGCTTCGAGGGAGATCAAAGCTAGGTCTCAAAGACGCAGCGTAGAGCCAGGAGCAGGCGTCTGATGAACTCAATTCTAAGTCTACCCTTCAGCCAAAGCACTGAGGGGCCACGTGCAGAGAATCTCCCTGTTCTCTTCGGGAAAGTTAGAGTAACTTATCTTCTCCTTCTACCCACTACATGGAAGTGAGGTGCAAACACTAACAGAAATACTGAAGTCACAGTACCCTTTGTGCTAAGGGAACACAGGAAAAACCCAGGAGAAATGGGGTTCATTTGTAGTAAGTGACACACTTTGGGTTCAGCTCAGTGTCTTCCTTGCTGTCTCCTGTGTATCTTTCCCCTGCATTGCACGGAGCTTGAAAACAGATTGAGAAGGCTACAGAGGGATCCTTCTGAATATTCCCCTTTTCCAGGCCCAGTGTTAGAAATTCCATCCCTTGTGCAGAGGAGGAGGAACTTGCCTGCTGTGTCACCTTGACCACAGTGACAGAGGAGCAGTCGGGTCAGAGCCATCTCTGCCCAGTGGGTGGGGCCACTGTGTGCAGTGTGGGAATCACTGGGGCTTGAGCTGTGCTGCAGGCCTGGCCTCTTCTTGAGGGCTGAGGGAGGCTCTCAGCAGGCACCAGGTCACTGCTGGATACTCTTTCAAGGCCAGGGCTTTCCAGTCTGCAGC